CTTAGGTAGGTTTTTGATTACCAGTTCAATTTCCTTGCTGGTAATTGGTCTGTTCAGATTTTCTGTTTCTTCCTGGGTCAGTCTTGGAAGGTTTTATTTTTCTAGAAAGTTGTCCATTTTTTCTCGGTTATCCAGTTAGTTAGCATGTAATTTTTCATAGTATTCCCTAATAATTCTTTGTATTTCTGTGGTGTCTGTAGTGATTTTTCCTTTCTCATTTCTGATTCTGTTTATGTGTGTAGACTCTCTTTTTTTCTTGATAAGTCTGGCTAGGGGGTTATCTATTTTGTTTATTTTCTCAAAGAACCAGCTCCTGCTTTCACTGATTCTTTCTATTTATTCTTTTCAATTTTATTTATTTCTGCTCTGATCTTTATTATGTCCCTCCTTCTACTGTCTTTGGGCCTCACTTGTTCTTCTTTTTCTAGTTTCATTAATTGTGAGTTTAGAATTTCTCTGTCTTTTTTCAAGTTCTTCCTCCCCCCACTCCTTAAAAATAAGTGTACGTTTAGTGACTGCAATGGGGTATGGGGGGACACACAATAACAGGGGTGAAAGTAGTAACCATATTGTTTTTTCATGTGAAACCTTCATAAGAGCGTGTATCAAGAATACCTTAATAATAAATAAATAAATAAAATATATGTATATATATGTGTGCCTTGGGCTTCTTCCTTAATCATCCCTTCTACCTGACATGCACTTTCAGTGGTTTGAATGACCACCCAAGTGCTGTTGGGCTGACAACACCAAATCCGCAACCACCAGCCCACGTACTCTCCTGAGCTTTTAACTCTATGTGGCCAACTGCCTATTGAACAGCATGAACTCAGTGTTTCACTAAAACTCCAAGTCCCCATTCCTGAAAGAATAAACTCTTTCCCATCTACTTAGGCACCCAAGCAAAAGCCTGCAAGTCACTTTAACTTTTCAACTTCAGCAACCACTTTTAACTAGTCATTAAGGTTTGTTCATTCTGCCTTTTGACAATCTCTCACGGCTTTCTTCTCATCTCCACTTTCACTATAACTTCTTTAATTTAGGATCTCCTTATCCCTTGCCTGAAGTGTTAGATTTTTATTTTGAAAAATGTCAGCTATATATAGCATATAGCAAACCTCTATGTATCCATCATCTAGATTTAATATTTACTTTTTGTCACAGTTACTTCATCTATTATTTCTAGTGTTTTAGAGTAAATCAGACATCATGACATCTCACCCATAACACTTCAATATGCTGTTTTATTATGTTACCATAGTAGCATTATCACACCCAACAAAATTAACAAGAATGCCTTAATATTATCTAATTCTCTGTCTTCCACATTTTCTCTTTATAGTTGGTCTGTTTGAATTAGGATTTAAACAAGGTCTACACATTGCATGTAGTTTCTTGGATGCTAAAACAGTCCCTTCCTTTTGATCCTTCCCATTGACTTTTTGAAGAGACTGGTCAGCTGTCTTGTCTCAACTAAATCTTTACAGTTGTGTCCTACCTCCCCTTTGCCTTGGGTCCTGCTCTTTCCCACACTTTCCCTGTCTGTCTTCCATACTGCCATCAGAGCCATCTTTCTAAAATGCAGCTGGGATCATGTTACTTCCCTGCCTGAAACTCTTAGTGGTTCCCATGAGCTGCCACAATAAAATCCATATTTCTTCCCTTGTCATATTATGTCTTCACTGATTTCTACCTAAATTTCCAATCTCATCTTCAGTTGATGCTTTGTCATACTATGCAGACCAAAAACTTGTTTTTTCTCTGAAATACCTAGAAACACTCTCTTGTCTTGAATGCCATGTACTTGCCTCTCTTCCACCTGGAAAACAACCATTTCCCAAAGCTTAGCTCACATTATCACCTCCTCTGTGATTTTCTGATTCCTTAAACCCCATCCAAGGAAAATTGACCATCTCCTTCTTTCATTCTGGCCCCCACCTAAGCATTTACACTGCTGGCTCCTTCTGAGGCATCCTGGGGCTGGGTCTTACTAATTGTAGTAGTCTTATCAGCCCCTGGGTTTGCAAAAAATGGGCTTTTAATAAGTGCTTGTGAATAGGTGAACAAACAATAAATTAATGGGTTTATTTATTCCCATTACAACCTGGGAGACACTAGATTTGTTCCAAGAAGAAATTCCTTATAGTCTCTTCTGTTCACAGCTCTTAAGGCTGTGGGCATAACCAGACTTAGGTCAAGAACAGGGCCACTCCTATTTGAGACCAGGCCCCAGACCTCCAGTTGTTGAGTTCCATCCTGGGCCCCAGTGAGAGTCACGGGACATTGGGTGACTCCAGTTCTAGTACAAGACCAGTAGATTCTCTAGAAAGGAAAGCATTTCTGAAAACATAGTCCTTGGTTATGAGAAGTGACTGGTGGTTACCATGGGGGACGGTTTAGGGTTGATAGGTAGGGAAGGTGAGGGGGATAAAAGTGCACAAATCTCCATCATAATATAAATTGGTCATGGGGATAGTAGTACAGCATGGAGAATATAGTCAATGATTCTGCAACATCTTCCTAGTTGACAGTAGCTGTACTAGTGGGGGTGAGGATTTAATAATATGGGTAAATGTTGAATCACTGTTTTATATTACATCAACAATACTTCAACTTTAAAAATGTAAAAAAAAAAAATCAAACAAACAAAAAAACACAGTCCTTGGGTGAGAATTCCTTCCTTAGAGAAAGAAAGTTGCTTCCCTGCCAATATGGTTAATTATCAAGCATAGGCTAAACTGGGAAAAGGCAGGTTAGTGATAAAACTGATTAGCAGGCTCTTGTTCAGTTTCAGGTGTTTAAAGGCTATGAACTACTTTCATGACACTCCCTCTTCTGTCCTGTGCTTTTTAATCTTACAAAGGTAGATATCAGACCAGGTAATCCCTAAGATCACTTCCATCTCTATCATTTTATTTTCTAATTCTTATGTAATGCCAGTATAACGTGGTTTTGATATAATAAAGGTCCATGAAGTGTTAATGGCATTTTACAGATATGGAAACTGAGGGAAGCAGGGCAGGGGCTTCACTTCAGACATGTGGAGGTAGAGCCAGGGCCTAAATCCTTCCAAAGGTCTGTTTCATTAAGCAATCGATATTTCCTGGCTCCCAGGCAGAACTGCAGTATCTTTCCCTTTAGAAAAGCTGGTCTGTTTTTCTCCCCAGGTTTGCAGAAAAAAAACACAAGGGTCAGAGTACATATGAAAAATATTAGAGTGCCCTTATTCCACTTCCACACCCTATGAGAGTTTGAATCTCACAGTATTGAAAATAACAAGTCGACACTGAGACAGTCAGGGGGCATGTAAGAATGAGGCTGGAGGAGGAGAAGGGGAACAGATTTAAGCTTCTGAGATGCATTTCGGTGTCTGTGGACTAGGATGGCGGGTGGGGAGGAGGCACCGATCCCAGCGGCATAATGACAAGGTCAGTCTCGTCTCTTCTCTGTTCTTGGCCGTAGCAGTCTAGCTAGAAAAAGCAATCTGTCAAGTCTAATTAGAGTAGAAGAAAGTGAACAATGAGCGCCCAGCTCTAAAATGACAGCCCAGTTTAATGGGGGCAGAGGAGCTTGGGAGGGATGTATGCTTTGTGTGCTTGGAATTGGTTCCTTCAAATGGATCCTTTCTGAACTCAAACTGCAGAACAACTTAAACTGGATCCTTATTTACTGCACCAGAAATCTTCAGGTCTCTATGCTTTTTAACACATGCACATCCAGCAAAAGCAGAGGAGAACCTGGCTCTGTTTCAAAGGTGAGGCTGTAATTGAAAATAGTTGTATCGTGCGGGGTGGACATGGTGCTGTGTGCCCGTAACTGCTATTTATTAATTTGTTCATGTTTCTCTTTTGTGTTTAATTATACTGGTGGTATTAGTGTTTCTTATTATTTTTGCAACTCTTTTTATTATGAGGCTTATAATTGGATTCTTGGAATTTCAGAACAGCCTGAAATTTTAGTAGGACCACATATAAGCATATTTTAAGATGCAAAAAAATAATAAATTATACATTTGGCTTATACTTTAAATGGCCTCTCTGATTTGGCTATTTTAGTTCTTGCATCAAAATTAGGAAATTGGGATATTTTATAAAAATGGAATCAAATAAATATATTCCTTAAAATAAACATATCAACACAGGTTATTGAAGCTTAAAAACTATGTATGGGCACAGTCTAAAGCCTCAAATAACAGAGGCCTGTTATCAGCAAATGTTATACTGAATATTGATGGTTTGTTAATTAAACTTTGCATCAGTGTGGGATTCAAACATCTTAAAGGTGTGAGAAAAAAATAAATCTTTGACGTGGGAGAGAAAGAGAATGGGAGGAGAATAAACACAATTTGTAAGTCTCAGCCTGCATGATATTCTTTCTTGTGTGTTATCTCATTTAATCCTTAAAGCACCCTGTGAAGTGTATTATTATCTTCACTTAACAGATTAAGAAAACAAGGCCTGAGAAATTAACCAAGGTTACAGAGAAATGCAGTCAGGCCTTAAGCCCAGGTTCTCGGGCTTCAAGTCTAGTAGACCTCTCAGCACTGTATTCCTGGTAGTCAGGAGACATTACACTTTTTTTATTATTAAGGTGTCATTGATATACAATCTTATGAAGGTTTCTCATGAGCAACACTGTGGTTAGTACATTCACTCATATTATTGAGTCCCCACACACACCCCATTGCAGTCACGGTCCATCAGCGTAGTAAGATGCTATATAGTCATTACTTACCTTCTCTGTGCTATACTGGGGAGATAGTACATTTTAACAGTCATTCAATTCATAATAATGCCAACTTGAGGACTCTCTTCTGGTTACTTATGGACATGAATGAGGCAGCAGATTTTAGTTTGGTGTATTTGTACCACTTACTTTATTGCAGGTTGCTAACCTTTTGTTTTCTACCACCATCACTTGTTTCTTTTCTGCCCTTTCTTTTTCCTTTTACACACATTTTTTGTAAATGGGTAAAGAAAGAGTCTGCCAATGCTATGCACCTTACTCTGGACTCAGTGCTCTCCCCAGAGAAACCAGTTATCAAGTTGGGTTATAACCCTTTCTGTGTGTGTTTGCATAGATGTGTGTGTGTATATCCTATTGTTTCGTGTCTTTTAAAACATTAATGGTTCTATGTTGTACTTCCTACTTCTTATTCTGTAATTCACTTTCTTTTTTTGCTTACTATGCCTTGTGGAGATCTTTTCATGGCAGTGTGTTTAAATGTAATTCATTATTTTTAATTGTTACATAGCATTCCATGCCTTGTCACTTTTACTGTTTCCTCTCTACCTTGTTTTTGAAACAGCTTAGCGGAACATCAAGTCAACATTTAACCATATTTGTATTTATGGAGCATAGGCTTTATGGCTCAATGGAATAAGAAAGGAAGGAAATGTAGGAGGCACCTACACCAGCACTTTGAGCTGAGGTGGCAGGTACACTGTCATCATCTATCAGAAGGTTTGTTACCTCTCAGCCTCTGAATTTTAGCATTTTTTTTAAACCTGTTCTCCAGAGATATATTCCTTACATATAAGAGACAATAATAACATACTTACAGGGTGCTGTGAGGATTAAATGAGATAATGCATAGGAAAGAATGTCAAAACCATACAGGCTAAGATGTGTAAATTATCAATTATTGGCTGATTCTTTTCCTTCTCTCCCATTTCAGGTATGTTGTGAGGCAATCCCTGAAGAAGGGTAGTTAATAAATGGAGCTTTGCAGTTTGTTATTATATATTCTGGGGTAGGAATATACCTAAAAGCATGAATTTTGGAGGATGACTAATCTCTCAATACAAGTCCTGATGTGGCTATTTGTTGTGTGACTTGGATAATGTTTGGTCATATGTAGAATAAGAGTAGTAATAATAGTAAACTTAGCCTGTGGGGTTGTGGTGAGGTTTAAACGAGATAATGTACGTAAGGTACAGTTTCTGGCATATCAGAAAATCAACTGCTGTCAGCTGTCAGTCAGAAAGTTACAATGTCCCCATTTCCATTTTCTGTCATAAAGTATCACTACCCAGTTTCCTCAGATGTGACAGTAAAGGCAGGCCTAATCTCAGGATTAAAAGCACAGCCGTACATTGTTCCTTTGGTCCATTCTTTTCTTAAAGCAGCTAAGAGCATTTACTGCATGACTCCTTAATTTACAAGGTTAACACTGGAAAGAGCTTTGAACCAGCCAGATGAAAGACATTCTGTAATATGCTCTCTGGGTAACGGATAATACACAAAAACACAGGGCAGTGGTATGAATATACATGCCCAATGGCTATTTTATCAAAATCTCTTTAGGTTACAAAGGTATATAAAATCCTTTAATACCTACTTATTTGTTACTTATCTAGATTCAGAATGAGAAGCTCACCGGGCCTCACCTGTAGAACTTGAGCCATTAGGTCACAGGCTAATATGCAGCTGGTTTCCTGGCATGGGGGGTGTTGTTCTCACTTCCTCTGGGGAGTGCTGGAAAGAATGAGGTGGCCTGGAGCTGGAGGAGAGGAGCGGCTCTCCGCATGACCTAAGGCCTGGCTCAGGAAAAACATGCAGATATTCTGTTATTCTGGGCAAAATTGCTGATATTTAGCTGGCAGATAAAATCCCAGAAAAATAGGAACTGTCTTATAGAGCATGAGGGTGTCACATGAAGGGACTGAAAGTACCTTAATTTGGGGCGGTAAAGTCCCAGGAAATAAACCTAGAATATTTCCAAAATGTCAGCTTAGTCCTTCTCAGCCCAGTAGGCTTTCTCTGACTCAAAGAGCCCATTTTCTGCTGTGTGTGAGCCTGTCCTAGTCAGCCCAAACTAAAATTCCAAGTGGACAAAAAAGGCCACTTCAGCTGTCAAGCTCAGAAGCCACATGTGGCTTTTGGTTTAAGAATTGGTCCAGGCAGCAGATGCTCTGATTGTAGGGGAGTGGCATGCCTATTCCTGGTATAAGAACAAGCTCTCCTTGTCTTAATACCACACTTAAATCAGGGATAGACGATTCTGAAAGTTCTTATTTTTCAAGGAGCTATGTTAAATCATTCTTATGAGAAAAAAAATCAGTGTAGAAAGATGTGATTTCTCAGAGAGCTTTTACTGTTGAAGGGATTTTTTAGCAAAGGAATTTGTTCATTAAATCATACCTCTCTCAGGAAGAGATTCTTGAGCATAAGGTGTAGAACATGTAATTACTAGGTTAAGTAGGATTTAAAATTACCTACACCACCCCTTTGTGAGGCGCTCTCTTTATTTTTATTTGATAGAGGGGCATCTTTCTGAAATTCTTGACTAGAAACCCAGAATAAAAACTTAGAGCACATTAGAATTCTAAAAATAGCTTGACCCTGCATTTTACAGAGTTCAGGGCTCCACAAATATGCTGCCCAAATCATTGTTGGCGATTAACTCATTTTGCCCTCTTTCAAAAGGTGAAAGCAGCTGGTGTATGAGAGTTGAGAGAGAGCCCATTTTCCAAGGGAGAACAAAGAGAAAGCGGCCACCCCTCCCCCTCGAGAAACCGCTTTGCTTTGTCTGGACCGATTTCTGAGACTGGGGCAGAAGAGGCTCAGAGCTGCGTCCCGCCCGATTAGCTCAGATTAGTTCAGTATAGTAACACTCAGTTCAGCAGTCCTGGGGATGTGCATGGGGAGAGGGTGTACCTGCCTGCGCAGGACTAATGTTATCAGCTGCCCTGTTAATGCATCCTATCCCTGAAGGACACTTTCATAGCACACTAACATTTAGGGAGACAGCCCCCTCCTGACTTGTATTTCTCTAGAGATAAACATGTCTAACATGGTCTCAGATCCTGTCCCTGATTCACTAAATTACCAAATATCCATTGCTCTTCTTTGACCTTCAACCACTGAGCTCTTAGTGCCCCTATGGTTGGATACAGCTTATGAAAGCTACAGCCCAAGTAGTTATGAACAGGACGTGGGGGCCTAGCCTTCCTTCTCCAGGACCCTCAAGAAGCCTTCTGTTCTAATTGGGTTCCTAATTACGGTGTTTCTGGAGCTACTGAACAAAAGAGAGGCCTCTGTTTTGAACCAGAGCCTATAATTTGTGCCTATAGCTATGCCCTGATAGGAGGCATCATGGGAATTTTCATGTCAGAGAACAGGGACCTGATAAACAGCATGACCAGTCCAACTGAAACCATCCGTCTCTGGGTCTTCCCTCTTTTACTAGAAGAAAAACGGAGACGTACAATTCTTACACATACTGCACTGAATCTCTGCAAGTGGAAGGGACAAAAGATTGTTAGAGCTTCATTTGGGCAACAATGAAGGACAGAGCTCTGTAGGAGAAAGCAGAGCAGCATAAAGCTCTCAAACAGCATTAAAAGGGAGAAGCTGCACTCTGGAATCATCATCTTGCAGGTTACAATTCCCAGCCCTCACGCTGGCTCAAGAGAAGCGCAACTCATCGTCTCCTTTCCGTGGCCTTCAGCCATAGGGGGAGAAAGGTGGTACCATAATTCCCTCCCAGTGGATGATGATGACGTGGTCTAAGCAGATGATTGCAAAGACTTCTGTCAAATGAGTATAGAGAAAAAGAGTGGGGTGAGGAGGAGGGACGCCAGAAATGGCACAGTAACAATCCTGGAATAAAAATGAGGGGACATAATGAGAAATGATAAGCACAACCATTTTGAAACTGAGCCCCCTGACTGTTTTTTCCAATTGGCTCCTAGTGAGCTCTTTTAATATTTTGTAGATATGAAAGTACCCTAAAGTAGGATAGGATAAATGAAAGAGAGCTTCTATCAGGTTCTATGTTTCACTCGCCTTTAGCATTGTCTTAAATAACAATTATCCTTAGATTTAGAAGTATTAAAAGCAATCAAGCCCTTTGAAATATTGTATACCAACACCATAACGGGCCTCTAGGTTTCTCTTCTCCCCAGAAAGGCTGGGCTCTGGTGGGGACCACTACTTTCAGTTTTGTTGGGTAGGGGGCCTAAGTGCAGCATCCAGAGTGCAACGGTGTTTGGAACGCCGCCGGCCGGTTCTAAGCGGTCCCGGAGCGACGCCGCAGCCTCTGGCGAGATCCGAGCTTTCTCCATTTCACCAGCAGGCGGCGCTGTTTTCGGGGCGCCGGCGGCCACCGCCCACGAAGGCCACTTCCGCCGCGGCGCCGCGAGGTTACCCCTGCACCGCTTTCTGGCTTCTGAGACAACCTTTCTTCACCTCGTGCTGTCTGCTAGTATTTCTGAACCACTAGACTCTTGTGACAGTTTACGCTACTTTAAAACTTGCTTCTTGGGTCCTTTGAAAGAAAGGAAATCCTAAAAATACGTGTATTGAGATTGTGTAATCACTGGTTTTTAAACACATCTCAAATGCATTTCAACTTAGTCAAATAAAAAGAGCCTCTGACCGACAAAGAAGGCCATAAATGTTGAAAATTAGAATACTTAAAAAAAAAAATCCCTCTTCCTGTTTATTCCAGACTCTCACAGGCGTAGAAAGCGGCTCGCGAAAATTCAGCTATGGCGCCATCTGCTGGACGCACCGCGACGCTGCAAGTCCCTGCCGGAGTAGTAGAGGTCGCGTTGGCTGCAGGTGATGGCCCGGTTTTTTGCCCAGGAAAGTCTCTGGCACCAAGGTAGCACACATGCAGTATTCTATTATAAAAAGAAACGAATCTGACCTTTTACAAGAAAAATATCTCCGTTTTGAGGAGCCCTTGGGCCTAAATGATCTGGCAAAAGGTTTATGGGTGTTCTCTTAGGGCAATCTGGGGGCTTCAGGAGAAGAGGAGGCATAACTCATTTCATTTTACCTGTACTTCTCTCAGGTGCAGGGCTGAAAACTAAAACTATTTCCATCACTACTCACAGGGAAATATCAGGAACAGAAGTCACAATGTATTTGTTCTACTGCATGGAACTGATTCTGCAGAATGGAAGGAATTTGAAAGGTGAAGAGGGTGACAGAAATAAAATTAATCTGGGAATTGGGACGTGTTAAAATGTGGCCTTGGCTGTGGTTTGATATAAGGTCCCTAAACCCTGCTACCATTTCCCAAACTCTTAAGTCAGTTCTGATTTACTTGAAGATTTTTCTATTTAGGAGACTTCAGGCCCTTTCCACACAAGGGTCTAAACCCATTTGCAAACACATTTATATACATACTTCACCACAAACCTGCATTCACCATTGTTGTGAACTTTGTTAAAGGCCGTAATCAGAAACTGCTTGGGGAACTGTTAGAAAGCAGAATTTTAGAGAATTAGTTGGTCCGTCTATCTGAAACAGTATGGTATCACTGATAGGAAATATTTGAAAAAGAAAAATGTTACTAAACATAGTTCTGATCTTAAATAGCTTGATAATAACTTTCTAGCAAAAAATGAGCTTTTGTGTTCTAGGATGAGTTTATAATGGTTTTCTTGAAGGAGATGAAGTAGCTTTACCAGTAATTGGAGTCTAACTGGTTATGGAGTACTTGGGGTCTGTGTCATGTGATATCCACATGTAGTCAATGTTTTATAAAGACATCCTTTGGTGTCCCAATAATTAGGTCCTTATGGATGAGACCTTCCTAATTCTACTGCCAAAGTGAATAGTTTCATAGAGAAAATGTTAGCCCTCCATGTGGGTGCTTGAAGAAGATGAACAACTAAGAAAACAATGAGAAATAATATAAAAATCCATTACAATGATGCATCATGAGTGGACTGTATCAGAAAACTAGAAGGCGGAGTATATTCCCTATTTTGAATGAACAAAGAGTTAATGGGTACCAAATTTTGACCAATATAGGAAATACCTGATGGCTGGTGCCACATCTATCATGTCTCTCTTCCATACTAATGTATTGCGGAGGAGAGTCTTTCCTAGAAATAAATAGGGGTTTTTCGTGGTTTATCAGCACTATGAGTAGTGGCATGAAGTAGAGAGTGAAACATAAGCCAGGCAAGCTCTCAGGGTCTTTGCCTAAGGACAGTGCAGGACAGGATCAGAGGTGAAGCAGTGAAGGCCAGTCTCTTCCTCTTGTGCCACAGGCAGTCCCTGGAAACAATGTTTTCTCTTCTGTGGTTCTTATTTCATAAGCTTGTTTGCTCAGAGGGTGTCTCCACCCTCAGAACAGAGACACATAGAAAACCTACCTGTCCCGTTCTTCACAGATATCCCGAGAATATTCATTGAGCACTGTTTCTGGTAAACCCAGTATACAAAGGCTACCCATTTCCCCAGCAAGTGAGCTTGGGGTTCAATATTTTGTGTCTGGCAAAAAGCAAGGGAAAATTTTTCTGGAGATGACCTCTCTCTTGACTTTCAGCCTGTTCTAAATTGGGCTTTTGAGAGAATGTAACTATTCTCTCAAACACATGAAACATTGAACTTAGTGGAAATTTCTGTCTGGACCTCTGGAGTTAGGGATGTGTCTCTCATGGTCAGAACTGCGACTTCACAAAGAATTGCCTTAACACTGTCAGTTAACTCAGTTTTGTTTTCTCAACATAGATCAGTCCTCTTCTCTCCCTTTGCTGTAAAAAGGCTAATTCCTGCTCATCAATGGGTCTTAGCTTTCTGTCCACTTACTCTGAGATTTCCTTCACTCTCCAGGTGAAAGGAAGGTGCCCCTGCTAACTTCCCAACACCTCATGGTTCCCTGTCACAGCTCTGTAATACCATATTGTCACTGCTTACCTGGTGTGTCTCCCACACTAGACTCTTACATCTTATGACAGTGGAGTCAAGCTTATTATTATGTTAATTTCGCATCTTCAGTGCTTAATTAGTGCCTCAGAACAAGAGGCCAGGTAGGAATTCAACACAGGATGATGGGAGGAAAGAGTATTTCCAGCAGAGGACTTAGCATGAGCATATACACAGGTATAGACCTGGAGGAGTGCCTAGGAGCAGGAATTTGGTCTGGCTGAAGCCTGAGGGAGCCTGGCAGGAGATCAGATGGGAACAAGTATGGGTGGTTATAAATACTGTGAATGTCAGTGTAAGGTAGTGGTCATCAGGAGTTGAAATAGTTGCAAATGAAATTTCTGGAGTATTGTAGGTTGGATAAGTGCTTTCTTTGCATGTATTTCCATCAAAATCAACAATGGAACCACAGATCTAGCCCATTCTCCTTGTGGAAAATGTCTTTCATGAACCAATCTGCATGGCGAAACTGGCAGAACCAATGTACATGAGCAAACCAATCAGTTAAATAGACTTATTTTCTATCAGAAAAAGTTTAGCTTCATATTTTAATTAAAAACACTATTATCACGATGTCTTTTACCACCTCACTTGGGACTTCTAAAATAGCCGCTGTCTAGGGCCCAGAGGCTTGGCGGGAATTTGTCCAAGGGATGAAATAAAGCACTACCCTGTCAGTATTTCTTACTTAGCCCTTTAGAGATTCTCCCTCAGGGGTGATGCACTTTCTTTTTTTTTTATTTTTTTATTTTTTATTAAGGTATTATTGATATACACTCTTATGAAGTTTTCACATGAAAAAACAATGTGGTTACTACATTTGCCCATATTATCGAGTCCCCACCCATACCCCAATGCAGTCACTGTCCATCAGTGTAGTAAGATGCCACAGATTCACCACTTGCCTTCTCTGTGCTACACTGTTCTCCCTGTGATCCCCCACACCATGTGTACTAAACATAATACCCTTCAATCCCCTTCTCCCTCCCTCCCTCCCTCCCTCCTCCCTCCTCCCTCCTCCCTTCCCCCCTCCCCTACCCCACCATCCCTTCTCTTTGGTAACGGCTAGTCGCCTCTTAGAGTCTCTGAGTCTCCTGCTATTTTCTTCCTTCAGTTTTGCTTCATTGTTATACTTAACAAATGAGGGAAATCATTTGGCACTTGTCTTTCTCCGCCTGGCTTATTTCATTGAGCATAATATCCTCCAGCTCCATCCATTGTTGCAAATGGTAGGATTTGTTTCTTTCTTAGGGCTAAATAGTATTCCATTGTGTATATGTACCACCTCTTCTTTATCCATTCATCTACTAATGGACACTCAGGTTGCTTCCATATCTTGGCTATTGTAAAAAGTGCTGCAATAAACATAGGGGTGCATATGTCTTTTTTAATCTGAGAAGTTGTATTTTTTGGGTAAATTCCAAGGAGTGGGTTTCCGGGGTCAAATAGTATTTCTGTTTTTAGTTTTTTGAGGAACCTCCATACTGCTTTCCACAATGGTTGAACTAGCTTACCTTCCCACTGGCAGTGTAGGAGGATTACCGGTGATACATTTTCAAATCATCCCTTTGTTTGAGCTCTTGTCCAAGGTCAGAGCAGTTAGGAAGCAGAGGCTGGAAAAGAGAAAGCAGCTCAATGGCAGCCATTCCCAGGTAATTCACTATCAGGAGAGGGTACATTTGGTACTTTAGAATCTGGAAATTGACTTCTTAGAACTATCTATGCTATGTACTCTCAAGCTGCTTAGACCCCAGTTTGAAGATGATAGTTTTAATTAAAGAACCTGGATTCTATTTTACAGACAGGTGGTCTCCAGAGTGGAGTATGCAAAAGGTACAGAGAGAAAATATTACAAATTTATACTACTTTGTCATCCTCTTAAACTTTCTATATTGGTAAAATACTTATAATCTATATAAAATAGAAATACAACAGTATATAAATAATTTTAAAATAAATTACATGTGTGTGCATTAGACAATGTTCAAACATTAGTTTACTGATAAGTACATGGAATAAAAAAAAATCTGAGGACCACTTTTAGGGGTAGTATTTTTTTTTTTTAGTGGAAAGTCATTTAAGTTTTCTGAGTAAGGGAGTGAAAATGAACACAGTTGTTGACTACAGGTGATAGGAACAGTACCAGGCCTAGAGGAGGACACAGCTCACTGCCTGCTTTCCAGAGAGCTGGCAGCCTGGTTGACACATGAAAAAGCAAGTAACAATAATGAATGATAACTAGTGCATGACTAATTAAGGGAGGACAATGAGGAAGAAATTTAAAAGAATGTGGAAAGAGCAATTGGTATTTTTTATTCTGTTTTTAAACATGCATTTTTCTGTAGCAAGATCTGAATTTTCCACAAGGTCCTAAGTGGTGATGGCCTTGCCTCACTATTTCCATTTCAAATTCCAAGCATTCTGTTCAGTAATATTCCTTCATCTCCATTTTTAACCACCAAATTGATGTTTTTATTTATGATTCGGGGGACCACATCCTTAGTTCTTAGAAGGAAAAACACCTAAAAATGCGATAGTTTATGACTGAGAAGGGTTTATATATCGGTAGTTCTGGTCTTTCAGAAGATAGCAATATTTGAATAGTTAAAATATAAAGGGAAGAAGAAAGTTAGGGGAGTAATTTTGGTAGCTTCTGTTATTTTTAGACATTCTACTACAACCAGAATTTCCCAGAGAGAAGGAACTTTAAAAGTTCCCAAAGAACATCATAATAAAGCATAATAATACCTTATACCCATGTGTAATAGATCCAATCTCAAAGGATTTTCGTGATCTTACCCTTGCATTCCCACCAGTTATATCTCTGTCGAGGGTAAGGGTGATACACGAGGTTAGGAGGCATCCCAGACTCACAGTCTAAACAGGTGCTCTGGCCCCATGACAAACACCGTGTTGGACATGAATCCTGCTGTGTCCACCCACATGCTTACTCAGACCCCACCCTCCTCACAGTGACGTATAGGTATAGGTGTTATTTAGCCATTTAACAGAATATTTGGGGAAGATTAGTGTACTCAGCAAGTGCACAATTACTAGGTGGCAGAGCTGGAATTCAACCCAGGTCTGTCTTACTCATAGAGCCTATTTTAGTGCCTGGGAGGCAATTGATAATTTTTGATGGGACTGTGTCAGTAGGGTGGTAGAGGTAGAAGACAGATTACATGGGTTTAGTCACTTATTATCCAACAAATATTTACTGGAGACAGTGGAACTTCCACCTAAAGCAGAGTAAGGAGGTGGGCAAATCCTCTCCCCAAAAAGCAACTACAAAGCTGGAAAAAAAACAAACCATTTTTAGCATCCTGGAAATCAACCAACGACATATAATAACCTGAGAAGTGTTTATGCTTGAACAATGGCTGACATTCAGTATTAACAGTGGGACTCTGTGGCATCCTTGCCTGGGGATGCTCTCATTTCCCAGCCCTCCCACCAGCCCAGTCAGCATGGAGATTTTGCCAGGGGGGGGGAAAGCTGTGAGGACCCATAGCTTTGCTGTTACAGTCAAAGAGGTCTCAACTTGATTTGAAGCAGGAGAGGGCCAGTGGTTCTACTAACACAAAGTTACAGTTGTGGTTGGGGCAAGCATCCTCAGGGCTGAGGTGGTGTACATTTACAGCTGAGAACAGAGGGCCTACGATAGCCACAAAGTCCTGGCTGACCTTGAGGATTTGTGCATAGAGAAGCTGTGAAAGGGCCCAATGGAAAGTAAAAGCCCAAATAGAATTGAAAACAGCCTGACATTTGCATGTACCCCTCTGCCCACGCACAAATTCATGATCAGAGGATGGAAGTCTTACTGAGGTGCTGAGCACAGTTTCTGTCCCATCATTGACTGACCATTAGGCTACTTAGACACAGGGGCAACCCCTAGGGAGCCAGGCAAAAATAAAAACATGAAAAATTAAACTGAGTAGAGATATTAGCAGCCACACACTTCAGAGAAGTTAACCAAGGCAAGTTACTTAAACACGCAAACACAAAAGATGGCCTTGAGGGAAAAAATCAGGATCCTGAATTGCTATAAAATATTACTTAAAAATCTAGTTTTCCATAAAATATGCAAAAAGATAAGAAAATTTGACTCATTCTCAGGAAAAACAAGAGTCAATAGAAACTATCTATGTGTCCCCAGAAATTGGATTTAGCAGGCAAAGACATCAAAGCAGCTATTATAAATATTATAATATTTCAAAGAAATAAAAAATATGTTCAAAGAACTAAAAAAAATCATTTTTAAAGACTCAAAAGAAAGTCAGACAATAAGGAATTAACAAATATGCTCAATGAGGAAACAAATTACTTAAATTTTTAAAAGTATAATTTCTAGAACTTATACTAACCAATAACTGAAACACAAAATTCAGTGGAGGGTCTCAAAAGCAGATTCAAAGTGGCAGAAGAAAAGAATCCGTGAACCAACAGAAATTATCCACTGAAGAATAAAATACAAAGAAAAATGAACAGAGCATCAGAGACTTGTGGGACAACATTGACATACCAACATATGTGTAATGGGAGAGGAAAGAAAGGGTCAGGAAAAATATTTGAAGAAACAATGCCCAAAAACGTGGCAAATTTGATTAAAAAACATCAGTCTACACATCCCAGAAGCTTAATAAACCAAACTTGGATAACTACAAAGAGATCCATGTCTAACCACAACATGCACACTGTTGAAAGTCAACAACAAAAAGAACATCTTGAAAGCATCAAGAGAAAAACCACCATCATGTACAATGAAGCATAAATATGATTAACAGCTAATTTCTCATCAAAACAATGGAGGTTTCTCATCTGAAGAATGGAAGCTGGAAGGCAGTGGAATGAATGGCATATTCAGAGCATAAAAGAAACAAACTATTAACCAAGAACTTGATATCCCACAAAACTATCCTCAAAAATGAAAGAAAAATTAAGACATTCCTAGATAAACAAATCTGAGGAAGTTTGTTGCTAACAGACCTGCCCTGTAAGAAATGCTAAAGGGAGTCCTGCAGGCTGAAAGGAAAGGACATCAGATGGTAACTTAAATCCACGGGAGGAAATGAAGAGCACTGGAAATGGTAAATATGGGAGTTAATGTAAAAGACTATAACTATATATTTTCTTGTTTCATGTAACTTGTTTAAAAGATATGAAAGAATTATAACACTATATTGATGGGTTATAACATATATACCAAGTGTATATATATGATAATTAAGTGTGTTATTATATAACAAATATAACTATATAAAAAATAATAATCATTAATATTAGGATATATGTGAGCTTTATATGTAATAATAGCACAAAGGAGGGGAAAGGGACAGAGTTATATTGGAGCAAAGTTTCTATGCTTTAATGAAATTAAGTTAGTATTAATCTGAAATAGATAATAATAAATTATGATGCATATTATAATCCCTACAGTAACCATAAAGAAAATAACTAAAAAATGTATGTTTAAAAAATCTACATAGGAATTAAATGTCACACTAAAATTATTTATTTGACACAAAAAGTGGCAGTAAACGAGGAAGATAGGAACAAAAAAAGAAACAGGCAAACACTAAGATGGCAAACCTAAATCAAATTACATCAATGATTACATTAATTCTGAAAGGTCTAAACATCTCAATCAAAAGACAGAAATCAGCAGGTTGGTTAAAAAAGCTAGATCCAATTATAAGATGTCTGCAAAAGACACCTTAGATTCAATGACAAATAGTGAAAAGTAAAAGGGTGAAAAAGATATACCATGAATATAATAACCATAGGAGAGCTGGAGTGGCTATATTAATATCAGACAAAACAGACTTAAGACCAAAAAACAAATGCTCCTTGAGACAGAGGGACATTTAATAATGATAAAGGGATCAGTTCATCAGGAAAATATAATAATTATAAATATGTACACAGATAACAGATTCACAAAAATACATGAAAGAAAAATGGACAGAATGGAGGAACAAATAGAAAATTCAACAATAATACCCCACTCTCAATAACGGATAAAAACTTGAAAGTAATATCAACCCACTTGACCTAACTGACATCTACAGAACTTCGTCCAACAACTGCAGAATAGACATCCTTAGTGCACATGGAACATTCTCCAGAGTAGGTATGTTAGGACCTAAAACAAGTATTCAATAAATGTAAAAGAATGCAAATTATACAAACTACATTCTCTGCCTGCAATCTGCAATGGAATTAAATTAGAAATGAAAACCTGAAAGAAATCTGGGAAATCCCAAGGTATTTGGAAATTGAACAGACTTCTAGATAGTTCATGGGTCAAAGAAGATATCACCAGGGAAATTTTAAATACTTTGAACTGAGCGAAAATGAAAATACAACATATTAAAATTTATAGGATGCAGCTAAGAAGTGCTTTGAAGAAGACACCTATGTCAGAAGAGAAGAAAGATCTCAAATCAATAACCTAAGCTTCTACCTTAAAAAAGTAAAAAATTAAAAGAGGAGCAAACTAAACCCAGGCAAGCAGAAAAGGGGAAATAAAGATTAGAATAGAAATCAATGGGAAAAAAAACAGAAATACAATACAGAAAATCAGTGAACCAAAAGTTGGTTATTTGGAAAGATC